AAAAAGATTCCCAAGGTGATTCTAATGTGCAGCCAAGGTTGAGAACCCCTGCTCTAGTCTCTGTAGAAATGAGGAGTGAAGGGAGCCGGTGATTTGCTTTGTGGGGTGTGCAGACTTCATGGTGAAAAACCATTTCCTCCTCCCAGTAAAGTATGGGTGGAAGTTGCTGTCCCTCCAGGGAAGACTCTGGAGAAGGGAGGTGCTTGTAAAACCTGGAGAGAGATGCATGCAGGAAAGGGAGACCTGCATCCTGCATTTTCCTTGGCCATCTGCTGAGGCAGTGTGCTTGCCAATTTCCCCCTTTGACAAAGAAGGGACAAATATGAACAAAGGAGAAGAGAACTAGAGCGAGCTGGCTCTAAGAAAAGGCCAAGAGAGGAAAGTAGTCTGGTGTGACAGGGAATATGTTCTCCCTGGATCCACTGCACATTGGAATAGGTGCCTGAACGTGGACTGTCCCCAGTCCCTACCCAACAAGGCTGCTGCTGGGAGAGGTTGACCCTCGTAACAAGAGGCAGCAGTTGAGAAGAAATGGTCAAGCTAGAGCTGGGGTCTTCCTTATCAGGGAACTGTGGAATAGGAGGCCCAGACTGGCCCTCTAAGGACACCTATACTGGACACCTGTCATACACTGGGCATTAACACAGAGGCCCATCAGCATAGACTAGAGAAACAAGAATAACCAACAAAGACAGCATTACAGACACACTCAGGAAAGCATGAAACCTCTTGAGTCAAGGATTCTATTACCTCCAGCTAAAAGTTCTTTTATTTCTTTTAATATATTTTTATTGATTTCAGAGAGAAAGGAAGAGGGAGAGAGAGAGAGAAACATCAATGATGAGAGAGAATCATGGATCAGCTGCCTCCTGCACGCCCCCTACTAGAGATCAAGCCTGCAACCCAGGCATCCCAGGCATGTGCCCCTGACCGGAATCAAACTCCAGATCCTTCATTCTGCAGGCTGATGCTCCATCCACGGAGCCAAACCAGCTAGGGCTAAAAGTTTCTTAATATACTTCTTTCTCTGAGGAACAGATTTCTCTCTCCATAGACTGGCTGCCCCTCAGCTCAGAATGAACGTGCTTCAAGCCCAACCCCACAAAGGGATGAAAACTGAAGACCTTTAGTTCAAATCTAAAATTCCCCAGGAGGGGAGGTAGAAGAGGGCATAAAGGTGATAAATGGTGATAGAAAAAAATAAAATAAAATAAAATAAAATAAAAATACAAAATTCCCAGGTAAGAGATCCTGACTGGTCCAGCATAGCTGGGAATACAGGGTCACTAACACCCAGTATCAGAGGACTGTCATTATGAGCTGAAAACATCTCAAAAGTTGTCTTACAGTGTTGACATAGTGACAGAAAATGTTATGCCCCGGAATACTAGAGTTGACGAATCCAGATAGGCTTGGGCGAGCTTTGAAATATACATTATACTTGGGGGGGGGGGGGGGATTTACCATACCTCACTTTCCAGAGAGTTTCACAAGGTTATGATTAAGGACTGCGAGGTTTGGGAAGGAGCAGAGGAGTCTTGATCCTTTAAGAGGAAGTAAGGGAGGTCATTGATTACCAGGAGAGAGACATAGGTCATGTCATTTACAATGTGGCCACCTTCTACTACCCCCTATCAATCTTCAATAAAATCATGAGATGCTTAGTGTGATGGGATTTCTGGTGGGACTTGCAAGGGGGATGCAGTTTCATATCCAAGTATGACCTTGGGCAGGAACAGAGATAGAGAAGGTAGAAGGTACAGTGGAGGGGGTGGGCAGCCAGAGAATTTTGATGAATGAGGACTTATCTGGAAGAAATACTAGAGCATCATTCCAAATTTCACATGAACTTTAATAAAACAATCATCATATATCTGACTTGGTAATTAAAGTGTTTGTATCTAGAGCACAGAAGTGTCTCATCCTCGCTAGAAAAGGGAGAAAGAGAGCTGAGAGGGGGATTTTCATTTCAGTTGATTTGCTTCGCATTTGCTGTAAGGCCTTTCTAATGTTTGGCCACTTGTAGGTCTTTGCAAAAACACTGTTACCTTTCCCTTCTATCTAGATGTGACAAGTTTATATGGAAAGATCTTATTGAATGGTCCTGTTGTAGGACATAATGCACATCTTTTGTTTGTTCTGCTCACCATTCATTCCTTGAGCTATTCCTCTAATCTTCCTCGATCTGGTGGGCTGCTAATCTGGAGATCCCAAGATCCTTACAGCTGTCATTAGCACCTAAAAAAAGGTGTCAGTTTCCCTGTGACTAGAGGGATGGGCACATCTCCTTAAAAAGTCAAGTAGCCCTGGCCTGTATGGCTCATACACTGAAAGATTTCCAGTTCAGTTCAATTAGGTTAGATTCTGGTCAGGGCACATGCCCAGGTTTCAGGCTCAATCCCCAGTAAGGGGTGTGCAGAAAGCAGCTAATCATTGATATCTCTCTCTCTCTCTCTCTCTCTCTCTCTCTCTCTCTCTCTCTCTCTCTCTCTCTCTCCCTCTCTCTCTCCTCTCTTTTCTCCTCTCTTGCTCTCTCTCAAAAAAAGAAAGAAAGAAAGAAAGAAAGAAAGAAAGAAAGAAAGAAAGAAAGAAAGAAAGAAAGAGAAAAAAAGAAAGAAAGAACAAAAAACCAAAACCAAGTCTTCTTTATTTCTGGTGCAAAACCACCTACGTAACATATATGACCCAGTGCAAAGTTAAATGCAGTTTGCCAGCCCAGAAAGTGGACCCTGATCTGTGCTCAGCTCCCTAAGCACAGGTGCTCATAAACAGGTCAGGGCTGGAAAATATTTGTAAAATATAAAGCAAAAAGTTTATATGTAAAATATTAAAAGTTTCTATAAGTCAATATTAAAAATATAAAAATCCAATAGAAAAATAGGCAAATAATTTGAACAGACAATTCATGAAAGATAGTTTTCAATGATCATATGAAAGGTACTTAACCTTATCAATAATATATCATATTGGCTTATTAGATAGGCAAGAGTTAAAGTTTGGCCATTCTCAGGTCTATTGAGGAAGCAGTGTTGGGTACAACCTGTTTAAAGGCCAATAGATGATACCTATCAAAATTAAAAGTGCTCATATTCTTTCACCCAGCAATTCCTCTTCTAGAAAGTCATCTTACAGAGACACATTGAATGCTTAAAAATCTGTTTATTCCACCCGGCTGGTGTCGCTCAGTGGTTGAGCGTCGACCTATGACCGAAGAGGTCACAGGTTTGATTCATTGGCATAAGCCTGGGTTGCAGGCTCTATCCCCAGTGTGGGGTGTGCATGAGGCAGCTGATGAGTGATTCTCTATCATCATTGATGTTTCTATCTCTCTCTCTCCCTTCCTCTCTGAAATCAATGAAAAAATATTTTTTAAAAATCTGTTCATTCCATCTTTGTGGTAAATCATCTAATTGTTCAACAATAGGGTACTGGTTGGATAAATTGTGGAATAACCATGTAATCCATATAGTATAATATATGAAAATAATGAATTAGCTCTGTATGTGCTGATATGGAAAAAGAAGTTCCTGCATACACTGAGGAGTAAGCAAAGCAAGCTGAAGTATAGAACAGATAGTAAGATCCCACTATTTTGAGAATAAAGTGTGCTCAAAGGTCACATGACATCACCTTCTGGGTGGATCTCAACCAATACTAAATCACTTTTTTTTTTTTTTTAAATATATTTTATTGATTTTTTACAGAGAGGAAGGGAGAGAGATAGAGAGTTAGAAACATCGATGAGAGAGAAACATCGATCAGCTGCCTCCTGCACACTCCCTACTGGGGATGTGCCTGCAACCCAGGTACATGCCCTTGACCGGAATCGAACCCGGGACCCTTGAGTCCGCAGGCCAACGCTCTATCCACTGAGCCAAACCGGTTTCGGCCACTTTTTATTTTTAAAAAATTTATTTAATGATATTAGAGAGGGAGAGAAGAATGGGGGAAGAGCAAGAGAGAAACATTGATTTATTGTTCCACTTTATTTATGCATACGTTGGCTGACTCTTGTATGTGCCTTGACCTGGAGGAACCCCAACCTTGGCTATGGGACAATGCTCTAACTAACTGAGCTACCTGACTACGGCCACTCAATTATTTTTCTTTAGAGTATTTATGTTTGTTGGACATTATCTCTTTTTATTATCTGAAGAAAGCTCCATGTGTACAATAAAGCAATGAACTTTATTCATTCAGTGCTTTATCCTCAGTTTCTAAAACATTTTAGGTGTTGGATAATTATTAATTTAAAAAGTGAATGGGGCCCTGGCTGGTTTGGCTGAGTGGATGGAGTGTTGGCCTGCGGACTGAGTGGTCCTGGGTTCGATTCCTGTCGGGGGGAACGTGCCCGGGGTTGTGGGCTTGATCCCCAGTGGGGGGTGTGCAGGAGGCAGCCGGAGATTCTCTCTCATCATTGATGTTTCTGTCTCCCTCTCCCTCTCCATTCCTCTCTGAAATTAATAAAAATATATTTTTTAAAAAGTGGATGGGGACTCATAAACATATATATTTCAAAGTTATATGTTTCAAAGAAAATAGATTTAAGGTCATAAAATTTCTATAATCTGACACTAAATGCTAAAATAGCCTAAAATAATTATTTGTAGCATCTTTTACCCACTGACAAAGAAGCTTTACTTACATAGTGTCATTTGGTCCCTATGAAATACATAAAAATAGAAATAAACATACATTTTCACTTCGTGGTTTGCTAAAGTCAGTCTTTCAATTGATGGTCTCCACCCCAGATGGGTTGAATTCGCGGATGCGAAGCCTGTGGATAGGCAGGAACAACTGTATTTATTGGGGGGGGGGGAAACCCGTGTATAAGCGGACCCGCACCGTTCGAATCCGTGTCGTTCCAGGGTCAACAGGACAAGCACCGACCCTTCCAAACCCCGTTCAGACCAGACCCCCGACCTCACCCCTCCTCGGCGAACCAGACGCCCACACCTCTGACCCAGCTCCACGCCCCGCCCAGAAGCCGCGGGGGCGGGGCTAGCTCCGCCCACGCCTGCGTCCTCTGCGTTCGAAGCTCCGCCCCTTCCGAGGAGTTTCCCAAAATTCAGCGCGGCATACCTCAGCCACGCTAAGATGGCGACTCCCATGCATCGACTCATAGCCCGGAGACAAGCGTAAGTGAGGGCCCTTGTTGGGTGCGGGGCGGGCTGGGGGCGGGGAGAAGCGCGTCAGCCGGCGGTTGAGCGGCGTCCGGATGCGCGGCCGGTCTCGGGTCCTCAGACGGATCGGCAGAGGGTGGATGTTTTTCTCACACGGAGCCTCCTGGCTGCTCGGGCCGGGCATAAAGTTTTTGTCCGTGGGCTAGCGATATCGCAGGAGCCGGCTGCGTAGGGTCCCCGTGGCGGGACCCGGGGGTGGGGGAGGGTTAGTCCGAAGAGAGCCTGGAGTTTGGTTTCCCGGAAGGGGACGCACAGGAGTTGGGCACGAAGTGGCTTGTGCCCCTTTGCCCACCCGGCCGCCTGCCCCTCGCGTGGCCGGGGGACGCTGAAGGCCTGATCCCGCCTCCCTCTTCCCGCCGACGGAAACCTTCAGCTTCCTCTCCGCGGCCTCTAGCCTCGCTGGCTTTTCCGGCCCCTTTCCTATCGCCTTCCCTAGGAACAGTCTGACGGCAACGCCGGCTTTCCTCCCAGGCTCTCTCACTTTCTGCCATTCATTCTGTTCAGCAAGTATTAATTTATTCATTTCCTGTCGCTCTGTGTCAGAATTTGGGTAGACAGCAAAAGAGGGGTTCAAGACAAACTCCGCCTTCAGGCAGCGTCCATGCTAGTGGTGGGAAGGGTCGATAAACTAAACATTTCACGTAAACACGGGTGGTGGTAAGAACTTGGAAGCCAGCAACAGGTGGTGGGAGAGATAAAGGGCCGGGTTAGGTTGGTTGAACAGGACAGGTGCTTCTGAAGAGGTGACGTGTGCACAGATTCAAAGTGAGAGAGGAGCCAGTCGTGAGAGGATCTGGGGAAGGAGAGTCCAGACGGTAGCATAATTGCTTTGAGATAAGCAAGAAGTTCGTTTTTTAGAACCGAGAGATGGCCGTGGTGGCAAATGACGGGGGGAGAGTGGCACAAGAGGTTTGCTTGTAGGCAGTGCAGGAATCTCCCAGATAGCCCTTTTTTGCTTCTGCCAACCTGCTCACCCAAACGTTTGCCTCTTTTTCATTCGCAGCATTTCATGCCATCACCATTTGCACGTCAATAATATATCACTGCCCTGGCTGGTTTGGCTCAGTGGATAGAGCCTCGGCCTGCGGACTCAAGGGTCCCAGGTTCAATTCCGGGCAAGGGCGTGTACCTTGGTTGCAGGCACATCGCCAGTAAGGAGTGTGCAGGAGTTAGCTGATCGATGTTTCTAGCTCTCTATCCCTCTCCCTTCCTCTCTGTAAATAATACAATATATTTATTTATTTATTTATTTATTTTTCTTCCATATTCTTTTTTTTTAAATATATATTTTATTGATTTTTTTACAGAGAGGAAAGTAGAGGGATAGAGAGTTAGAAACATCGATGAGAGAGAAACATTGATCAGCTGCCTCCTGCACATCTCCTACTGGGGATGTGCCCGCAACCCACAATAAAATATATTTAAAAAATATATCTATCACTTACATTCTGCTGGCATATACTATATATGTTTATATTTCTTTTCTTCTTCTTGATTTTAGATAGGGAGGAAGACTGAGAGAGAAGCATCGATGTAAGAGATTACATGGCTTGGTTGCCTCCAGTAAGTCCCAGACCCTGGTCCAACTTATTAGTAAAACCTAGGCATGTGCTATGATCAGGAATGAAACACATGACCTTTTGGTGCATGGGATGAGGTTCCAACCAACTGAGCCACACTGACCAGAGCTGTATTTCTTTTAATATTGATATTTTTTATTCTAAGATCCCTGTCCAGTTTCCTCTCCCCTCCATCAGATTCTGTCTGTCCTGCCAGTTAAGAGTTCCTTGAGCATAAGGATAAAGACTGAGAGAGTCAGAGTACATAGTATGCTTGATGAAGGAAGGAGACTTTAAAGTCACACAGTTCTGAGATCAAGAATGGAGTGCTAATAATACTTAAAAAGCATACTAAATGATGTCACCAGGGTCCACTCTCTCTCAGGCTTGTTCTTTTGGGTGTTGGGTCCAGTCCTTTGGTGTAAAGATGGCTGCAGTATCTAGGGTCATTTATATCCTCTCAGCTTCAAGTTGATGGCATCTCATTGGTCTAGATTGGGTTACATGCCCAACCCTGAGCCAAGTCTATGGGATTATGAAGCTCTGATTGACTTAGACCTCATAATCTTCCGAGTACAATTGAGTGGATCTCTACAAATCAATGATCTAGTTTGGGGAATCTACCCTTCTCTCCACTTCTAAAATCAAAACAGAATTTGCCTGCTTCCAGTCTTTCAGCACCACTTCTATATTCCAGAGTTCCTCAGATTACCAGTAGCAGTCCAATAGTCTCACCTGGGAAAATCTCTGATATGTCCAGGAGCATTCACCTGGTCATATAACTTAAACACATTCGAAATAGATTAGGGCTCTGTTACATACTCCTCAAATATCTTGGACTTCAGTTTTACTCTTTTTATTCTGTGTACTAGAGGCCCAGTGCACGAAATTTGTGCATGGGCGCGGTCCCTAGGCCTGGCCAGTGATTGACGCGTGAGCGTCTGGTGTGGAAGGGCAGGTCCCACCTGACCTCTAGTCCCTGGGCAGTACCTGGGCCTCCGGGCCCCCGCCCCTCCCCCCTCCACCTGAGTCATGGGGCCCCCACCCAGCTCCCTCAGCACCTGGGAGCCGGGCGGCAACCCCACCCCCCGCCGCTGCCACTGGTCCCCACCTTGGCTTGGCTCCACTTGCACCCACCTTGGCCTGCCACCACCTGCTCACCTGCTTCACCTTCCTGCCGAGGTCCCACTCTCATCAGGGCCTGCACTGCTGCCCACTGCCAGTGCCACATTGCCGGTGCCCACCATGTTCTGTACCATCCCCTGGTGGTCAGCCCACGTCATAGCAAGCAGTCAAACTCCCGGTCGAGGGGACAATTTGCATATTAGGCTTTTATTATATAGGATAATAATACCTGAGTTCAGACTGAAGCAAAATAAAATAGACCTGCTTGATCTCTAAGTCCATAATGTAATATTGGTGGCCTATTTACCTAGCACACCAAATAGTGAACCTATCCCTTTTTTTATTCTTTATGATTTAAATATAACTAAGACACAAAATAATTTTTTATGTTCTTGATATTTTTTACTAGCCTCAGCTCATTTTGGCAGACTTTCAGATATTTCTCTTATAGGTCTTTACCAATTGGCATTACTTTAAATCTATAGGTCAATTTGGAGAGAAGGGACGTTTTTATAATATTGGGTCTTCCATTCTATGAACATGGTATATCCCTCTATTAGCTATTAGCTATTTATCTAAATGTCTAGTAACTAGACTCTAGTTCCTCTCCGTAATCTTTGTTTTCTGTACAAAAGTCTTACACATATTTTCTTTTATTTATTTGTAGGTATTGGGTATTTTTCAGGATATTGTAAATGTCACCTTTTAAAATTTCATTTTTTGCCTGGCCTGTGTGGCTCAGTGGTTGAGTGTCGACCCATGAACCAGAAGGTCACAGCTCAATTCCTGATTGGGGTACATGCCCAGGTTGCAGGCTCGATCCCAAGTAGGGAACGTGCAGAAAGCAGCCATTTGATGATTCTCTCTCATCATTGATGTTTCTATCTCTATCCTTCTCCCTTCCTCTCTGTGAAATCAATAAAAACATATCTAAGTAAATTTTTAACTGTTTTTATTATATAGGAACAATTCATTTTTACGTGTTACCTTATCTAATACAGTTTGGCAAACTGAATCCCGCCTGCTGCCTATTCTTGTAGTCTTGCAAACTAAGAATGTTTGTGGTTTTTTAAATTATTTATTTATTTGAGAGAGAGAGAGAGAGAGAGAGAGAGGAAGGAAGGAAGGAAGGAAGGAAGGAAGGAAGGAAGGAAGGAAGGAAGGAAGGAAGGAAGGTCCATTGTTCTACCCATTCATGCACTCATTGGTTAATTGTTGTATGTGCACTGATGAGGGATCAGACTTGCAACCTTGGTGTATCAGGATGCCACTCCAACCAACTGAGCTACCTAGCCAGGGTATGAAGAATGTTACTAATATATATGATTAATTTGATGGTGGGAAATACTAACTTTTAATCTCAATTGAGTGAAACATTATCCTCCAAAAAAGAATTCCATTCTTCTCATTAGTAAACCTCTTTTATATGAAATATTTTTATTAACAAAATATTTCCAGAAAAAAATTTTTTTGTTGTTATATAAGTATCTACATAATATCCTCACTTTTTTTCCTTAAATATGTTCTTATTGATTTTTTTTTAGAGCAGGGGTCCTCAAACTTTTTAAACAGGGGCCAGTTCACTGTCCCTCAGACCATTGGAGGGCCGGACTATAGTTTAAAAAAAAACTATGAACAAATTCCTATGCACACAGTGGCGGCAAAAACACCCGGCGGGCTGGTTAAATGTTTTTGGCGGGCCGCATGTGGCCCGCGGGCCGTAGTTTGAGGACCCCTGTTTTAAAGAGTGGGAGAAGGGGAGGGTAGAAGATAGAAACATCTATGATAGAGAAACCTCAATCGGCTGCTTCCTGCATGCCTCCTATTGAGGATTGAGCCTGCCACCCAAGCATATACCCTGACTGGGAATTGAGCCAGCAACCTCTTGGAGCATGGGACAGCTCAGCCCACTGAGCCATGCTAGCCGGGGATAATATCCTCGCTTTTGCCTCTTGATCTGCAAAGTCTAAAATATTTACTGTCTGACCCTTTACGGGCAGTTTGCTGACCCCAATCCAAAACCTTGCTAAACTCACTTATGAATTCAAACTATTAAAAATATTTTATCTGTAGATCTTTTGGATTTGCCATGTACATAATACATCATCAGTGAGGAATGATAATTTGATTTCTTCCTTTCCAGTTCTTTCATCTGCTTTTCTTTGCTTGCTGCATCTTAATCTAATTTCAGGAACTGAGATTTTTCTTCGTCTCCTAGATGTCTAGAAACCGGGCTGCACTCTTTATATGGTTGGTTTATTCTTAACGGATAGACCCTCTGAGTCCTAACTGCAGATATAAACTACAGGGCTGACCACTCTGGATTTCTATCTTCTTCTGTATTTTGGCTTGGTTATTCTTTACCTTATTGTTACTTCTCTCATGCCTCGAGCAGATTGTTTTAAATGTTTTCACTGTCTTTTCTAGTTCTGAGACTAAGCGTTGTCTGAGTTACCTAGTCTGCCATTGCTGGAGTGGAATTGAAGAATGAAGATTTGAGCTAAATTCTGTCTTAACTTCGAGGTCCATGCTCTTAACCACTTACTATGCTGTCTTGTGATTAAACCTAACATAAACAATTTAAAATGTAAAATGATGTTTGTTTCTATTTTAAAAAAACACCATTTTACACATTATATTGTTTATGCTTTACAGGGCAGAATTTAAGACCTGTATTCTGATTTTTGCTCTGTAGTGAAGCAAATAAGCAACATGTAAGATGTCAGAAATGCTTGGAATTTGGACATTGGACTTACGAATGCACAGGAAAAAGGAAATACCTACATAGGCCTTCAAGAACAGCAGAACTAAAGAAAGCTTTAAAAGAAAAAGAAAACAGATTATTATTACAACAAAGGTAAGTTTACATGTGATATCTAAAGGAATATTTTTTCCCAAAGGAATCTTTTATATTTATAGACTTTATTAAGGACCTAAATGTCTCATGGTCGTTATTCAGATTTAGATTACAATATGAATGAGTGCTTATTATGTGCCAGGCACTATACTAAGCTCTTTACAAGTATTAGCATATTTAAGCATCATATCTATATCATAAAGGAAGTAATTACTATTATTAATCCCCATTTTACATATGAAGAAACTGAAGCATGTTCAGTAACTTGCTCAGTGCTGTCACACAGTTAGTAAGTAGGAAAGTTAAGTGTTAAACCAACCAGTCTTTTTAGAATCCATGCTCTTAATCATTTTGCTTTATTGCTTCTACCTATGACATGACAACAGAATACTATGTGATAGATTATATAAGCTGCTATAAAAAGATATCCAAGATAAGTATCCAGGATACTTATATTAAGTATATAGACTAAGTAAAGAGCAGTATATATAATATGCTATCATTTATGTGAAAAAAGGAATAATTGGATTATTTGAAAATATAAATGATCGATAATTGTAGTTCCTTTTTAAAAAGACCTGAGTAGGAAGGAAACTAGAAAAATTTTATTTACTCTTTTATGCCCTTTGAATAAAGCTTTTTAAATTCCTATGAAATAAGTAAGTAGACATGCTTTAGAGAAACTGAACTAGGAAGGGGTCAGGTCAACTTAGTGCTACAAATTAGAAGCAGCGTCTTCAGGACTATTAGCTTTATAATAGTGTTATAAATATCAGGACTTTCAAAGAAGCTGCCTTCCAATTTGTGGTCATGTGGCTCTTCAAGGGTTATACAGGAGTAGATAAGTAATCAGTTTCTAGATTATCAACATTCATTATACTTTTTCCAAAATGAATCTATGAGAACTTGTCTCCTGGTTCTCCTTTTCCACTCCCCTTCCTCAACAACCCTTCTTAATTTTGCAAAAGAAAAGCATACCTCTCACCTTCTCTGATCTTAACCTTGGTGTATTGCCTGCCCTCATGTATAAAAACCTAAATGTCGCCGAAACCGGTTTGGCTCAGTGGATAGAGCGTCGGCCTGCGGACCGAAAGGTCCAGGGTTCGATTCCGGTCAAGGGCATGTACCTGGGTTGCGGGCACATCCCCAGTGGGAGATGTGCAGGAGGCAGCTGATCGATGTTTCTCTCTCATCGATGTTTCTAACTCTCTATCTCTCTCCCCTCCTCTCTGTAAAAAATCAATAAAATATATTTAAAAAAAATAAATAAATAAAAACCTAAATGTCTTTCAAAATGCTGGTATTGGAATGAAAAAGTGAATGGTCCTAATTATTGGGAATAAATTATTCTGTACATTTTTTTCCCAGCAAAAATGAAGTAAGACCTAATTGAATTTTCAATTTATAAGTATATTTTAATGATACATCATTGTTACTTGTAGAATATAACTTGGGAGACATGCAAGCTTGACTGACATTGCTACAATAAAACATTTTCCTACCTATTCAGGCTAACAAGGTTTATCAGGGTTAAATCCATACAAATTAAATATAGGAATTGAATTGAGGTTGAACCTTGTCATAGTCAAGTTTAAAAGGAAAAAAAGGACAATGTAAAAGTACCAACTGTTAAAGATAAGCTTGTACAAGTGTTTTTTAAGTGAATTGTGGTAGGTATCAAGTTATTGTGACATTTATTTTTCATTGGCTACAATTATCAAAATCACATAATTTATTAAAATAATATGCCAGTGATTACACCCTTTGCAAATATTGAAACTTAGAATTAAAAACTATGAGGAGGAAACATAATTTTGCAAAATTATTTTATTAGGAATGTAAGCAAAATATGTTTGGAGACCTTTGTCCTAAAAAATAAAATATATGAATAACTTCATCCCAACATTTACTTTTACTTTTTTCAAAAAAATATATATTTTATTGATTTTAGAGAAGAAGAGAGAGGGAGAGAGAGATAGAAACATCAATGATGAAAGAGAATCATTGATTGGCTGCCTCCTGCACGCCCCCTACTGGGGATCAAGCCCGCAACCCAGGCATGTGCCCTTGGCCAGAATCGAACCTGGCACCCTTCAGTCTACAGGCTGATGCTCTATCCATTGAGCCAAACCAGCTAGGGCTACTTTTATTTTTGTTTTTCTAGTTGGATTACACAAGTATCTTGATCTTAAAAATACATAGACCTATATGAATTTTAGATATGGCTCTATTACATAAAGACTGCTGATTTTTGGTTTAATGATAAAATGATGGAAGTGTGTGAATTTCAGTGATCATGGATTCTTGTGGTGTGGTTTAATAAATGTACTTCCACTTATTTACCCTCAAAATGACAATTCAGTAATTCCATTGTGTAAAACAACTTTACATACATATCTATAATAATAAAAGCATAATGTGCTAATTAGACCAGACAGCTAAATGACCTTCCGGATGTACTTCCGGATGACCTTCCAGACGAAACCGGGGCTGCGAGGGCTGAGGCAGCCGCCATGGCTGTGAGGGCCAAGCCCCTTGCATGAATTTCGTGCATCAGGCCTCTAGTATATTTATATTTAAAGACTCAGGAAATAAGGATAGAAGCATTACCTAGGACAGGGGTGGGCAACCTTTTTGTGAGTGCCTGCCAAAACCAGCGAAATCTCTGACTCAAAATTCTTCTGCGTGCCAACCCTAATTTTTTGAGAACATGTTACACCTACTTGATATCTCTTAAGGTGTATGTATGTGAAGAACCTTGAAGAAATAATAAAATTCATTCAAGCAAAAGCAATAAAAACACAGTATATGATGATGAAAAATACGTTTATTTTTTAATGTATACAGGTACACTGATAGTCCGACAGAAAACTTTATGGCTCCGTTTGATATTATCAGTGGGACTTTTGCTGCTGCATCACTGATGACAGAGATTTTACATCAGGTTTATATTTCGTGACCTTCAGAGATATGCATGAACTACTACTTTCATCCGTCAGGCTACTCCTATTACAAGACTTGACAAAATTCATCACTGAGAACAAAGATTCACAAGCGTATGTGGATGAAAACATGGAGAGTAACGCTGTTGCAAAGTTTTTTAAACAGAAAAAATTTTCTGGAATGGCATTACAAGTCCTCAGTAGTTCGTTTTTTTCAACACTATTGAAATTGCTCTTCCCCTCACTCGTCAATCCATGTCTATGGTCTTTAAGATAACTTGTTATGTAAAATTATTTATTTATCTAAGATGCACCGAATTTATCTGAAAAATAAAAAAGTCGATATTAAGAAAAAAAATTGTAAATGGAAGATTATAAGAGAAGGTTTCGCGTGCCAGCAAAAGTTACTGGCATGCCATGTTTGGCATGCGTGCCAAGGGTTGCCCACCCCTGAGCTAGGAAATATAGAGAAGTCCTGACTATAGAAATACTAAGTTTACAAGACAATGCTATAATAATAGAAGTAATTCTGGAATTTGAAAACCTGATTTAGTATGCATGTTGTTTGGCAGGAATATAGCAGCAAACCATTTGTATATTTCATTCAAAAATCACCAGACTTTGTTCTTGGTAAATGATGTGAAGAAAAGCAGTCTTGAAGTATTAATTGTCACAGTAAATAACTGAACATTTGGGGGACATACAGAAAAAGAAATGGTTATTTTAAATTAAAGGCTGCTTTTTATATGAAACTAGAGGCCCGGTGCCCGAATTTGTGCACCAGTGGGTCCCTTGGCCTGGCCTGTGGGATCAGGGTGAAACCAGCTCTCTGACATCCCCTGAGGGGTCCCAAATTGCGAGAGGATGAAGGCAGGCCAAGGGACCCCATTGGTGCACAATCGGGGCCAGGGAGGGATGCAGGAGGTTGGCCAGCCGGGGAGAGACCGTGGGAGGGCTCCAGAGCATGTCCAGCCCGCTTGCTCAGTCCCAATCGGCTGGACCCCAGCAGCAAGCTAACCTACTGGTTGGACTACAGGTCGGAGCGTCTTCCCCCTGCTGGTCAGTGTACATCATAGCAAGCGGTTGTGCAGCCTTGGCATATCATTAGCATATTACATTTTGATTGGTTGACTGGACGACTGGACACTTAGCATATTAGGCTTTTATTATATAGGATGGCCATTTATAATATTACTCTGGAAACTCAAATTATAAATTACAATTATGCTATTATTTACTTTGTATTGTTGTTCAGGATGTAGTTGATTTAGCCATATCAACCTAAGTTCAAAACAAAAAAAAGAATCAAATTGGTACATTCAGTCATCTTTACCAACTTACTGGCTACTAAGATAAAGTTAATAGATAATATGTCTTGCTTCAGCACTGGTTATGTTGACTATGTACCACATACAGCCTACAACAGGAAACTTTCCATTTGGTTATAACAAGTAATACTGGACTCTGAATACATGTTATAAAAGACAAAGTGTTTCTCCAATATAGAATAGTTTTGGGGAAGGGTTGGTCTGAGCTGTGCATAATCACTCTATTAATAGGAGTTTCTTTTTCCCATGTTTATCAGCATTGGAGAAACTAATGTAGAAAGAAAGACGAAGAAAAAAAGGTATGTGCCTTCAGGAGTATTATATAGTTAATATGTAATACTAGTTGGAGGGATAGGAAGAATGATTTTAAAATAGTAGTTAAAGATTTGAATCTGAAGTTTCTTGTTTGCAATTTTCTGATATGTTTCTCTCTTTACCTATCTGGAATTTATTTCCTTTGTCTCCTTTTTCTCTTACTTTCCAGAGTCCTTCTACCTGGAAATAGTAAATAATTTCTCCTAGTTTAGAATAGGAAATTTTATTAAACGGGTAAGACATTATTGTCCAGCTATACCTGGTCTAAAGTAATTGAGATTATGAAACATTTGCTACTTCGTGAGGTTTAAATAAAACCATTTGTTATACTGCAACTTTATTCTACTATTATTTATTTGCTGTGGTGCATAATATATTAGGTATATTATACCATCCAAGAGAGTTAAATTACTAAAGTAAATGACCTTGCTAAGAGAGGGAAGGCAGTATGGTTATAATAGGTAATCCCAAAAGCATTAAATGTAGGAATAACATGCTAGCAAAGCTTCAGTTATATACATGTACAGAAATTAACACTTTATTAAATGTTGGCTGCCCATGAATATAACTACTGATTGTCTAATAGGTCTAAGAGTGTAACCAGCTCCAGTAGCAATAGCAGCGACAGGTCAGCCAGTGATTCTTCATCAGAGAGTGAAGAAACATCTACCTCATCCTCCTCTGAGGACAGTGATACTGATGAAAGCTCCTCCAGTTCATCATCTTCAGCCTCCTCCACAAGCTCTTCCTCATCCTCTGATTCAGACTCAGATTCCAGCTCTTCCGGTCGTAGCAGCACCAGCGCGGAGAGCAGCTCCGAAGATGAACCACCAAATAAGAAGCAAAAGGAATAGAATTGCTCTGCCTGCATTGGACTGAGGGACCACAAACTTTCATCTGATTCTCAAAAGGGAATTTAGAATATGTTAAAGCCAAATAGGTTTACTGGTCAAAATTTTGAGAGCTCAGAAGTTTCTAAATATTTTACATTGTAAGAGCATAAAAAGTATTAATGAAATACATACATATATATATATATATATACACACACACACACACACACACATATATGTATATATATATATATATATACACTTTTTTATTTTAAGGGTGAATCTTGTTTTTCTTTTTTATATTTAAAGTGTATCTCTAACACTTAATCAAAAGCTGAAATCCAGTAATTCTGTTTTTGTGGTAAAACTTATTTTTGCCCTGGCCCACATGGCTCAGTTGGTTGAGTGGCAGCCCATGCACCAAAAGATGGCTGCTTTGATTCCAGTCCGGGCACACAGCTGGGCTGCATGCTCACTCCCTGGTGGAGGACATGCAGAGGCAGCCTGTCCATGATTCACTCTCACATCAATGTTTCTCTCTCTGTCCCTCTGCCTTCCTCTCTAAAAAAATCAATAAAAAATCTTTAGAATAAAACAAAACTAAAACTTATCTTTTCCCCCTATGAAAACAATGCTATACTTTGTTATATGTTAGTGTTATGTATGAGACATATTTTCGGGATAATGCATCAGAATATCTGGCAGTGATTTCTGTGTGTTATTACGTCAGATTTAATACATTGTTATAAGCTTAGGCGTCTTTCTACTGTTGATAAATGTGCTCTATTTTTGTGTTTATGTTCAGAAAGTTATTTTGCCTTCTGTCCTAAATGAAAAGTTCAAGGAACCTCTCAATATATTTCTACCTTTTTGATGGTACAAGTTTCAAGTTACTGTGTTGTATCATTTATTTTCTTCTGGTTATTAGAGTTACACTTATCTGAGGAGCATCATTCTAGAGAAACTTAAAAAGGAACAAAAATGTTGAAACTACTTAGGAATCTTGGTGCCTTTGGGTAAATTCAGTGTATCAGAAAAAGGTCATTTAAAAGGGTAACAAGTAAAAGTGATATAAATATATTTCTTTGTGCGTTAATATGCTATAAAAGGTACCATTCAAAGGGGGAAAGAAAGTAGGAGGAAGAAAGGTTATTTTTACAGAAAATGAGGGCAGTGTTGGTTGCCTTTTGCTGAGATTTTTTAAGCTTTCATAAAGATTGCCTTTTATCATTTTTATGATTTTAGTAGGACAGTTTATGTGGTAACTGGTCATATACAACAATGTACGTACTACATAAATATGGTGTGTTAACATAGCACATACACAATTGAAATCTAGCATGAAAGGTTAAAGAATACTGCACAATATTTCTTAAATTACTCTGCTGTGGTAAGAGTATTTAACATCAGATTATTCTGTGATGTCTTTTAACTTTTTGGAAAAATACGTTTGTAAAGAAACCTTGATTTGGGTTCAATATAGGTTTTTAAAACTGTGAATGTTGTCTTTTTTATATTTTTATGAGAAAGCGGGAGAAAATTACTTGGGAAGAAAATGAGCTTCTGTATAAATGTTGAAATATGTATGTTGTGAGTTTTAGGAGCATACAATCACCTGTAAGTTTTACAGAATCACCTGCTTTCGGTGATTGTAAATAAACTCTCAGAACTTCCTTGAAAGGCTCCATACAGAATGTCTCAATTGACAGGAAAATTTAATAAATTAGTAATTAAACATATTTTACAATGTGGTCTCTTTAAGGGCAATTTCAGCAGTTAACTTGAAAGAGAAAATAAAAATTGTACATAGGTAACATCACTTGCAATGAAATAAAACTCAAGAGTTTGTGCTCACAAGTTTACGCTTCTGTTATCTTTTTGCTGTTTTATTTAATGCCAGTCTTTAGTAAATGTATTATGTCTCAACCACAACCATTTCAAAAGGAGTCATTAGATCATAGGTTTTCATCCTCAAACATTTTGTTAGTATAACTGTACAATATTGAAATTCTGTCCTGGAATCAAAATATGGCACTACGCCCTGGCCGGTTTGGTGCAATGGATAGAGCGTCGGCCTGCGGACTGAAGGGTCCCAGGTTTGGTTCCGGTCAAGGGCACGTACCTTGGTTGCGGGCACATCCCCAGTGGGGGGTGTGCGGGAGGCAGCTGATCGGTGTTTCTCGCCCATTGATGTTTCTGACTCTCTATCCCTTTCCCTTCCTCTCTGTAAAAAATCAATAAAATATATTTTAAAAAAAATATGGCACTAGGCCACAGGTTAGTACTGGATATGGAAAAAAGTGCACAGAAGGTGTACTTCATACTCATGGTTTTATGTATTCTTTTAATTTTTATTTTGAGCCAATTGTAGAAAAGTTGTAAAAATATTACAATTTTCATATATACTTCATCTAGCTTCCCCTGTTAGCATTTACATAACCATAATACAATGATAGCCAAGAAATTAATGTGAAAAAAAAAACACCAAAAACCTTATTCATATTTCACCAGTTTTCCCACTAATGTCCTTTTCCTGTTCTACAATATTACCCAGAAAATATATTTACTGACTTCTAAGTCTACTACTGTCTAGCAGTTCCTCAGTCTTTGTCTTTGAGGCCTTATCACTTTTGAAGAATATTTATCAGTTATTTTGTCTAATGTTCCTCAATTTGGGTTTGTCGTTTTCTCATTGAACTGAAGTTATGCTTTTTGGAAGACTATCACAGAAATGCAGTTGTGTCCTCAGCCCATCATATCACAAGATTCCTAATGTCAATATATTATTGGTGATGTTGACCTTGAACACTTGGTTAAGGTGGCTTCTGTCAGGTTCCTCCATTGTAAAGTTAGTTAATAAATACCTTGGGCGAGATACTTTGAGATTACGCAAATTGTTTCTCCTCACACTCATCCACTTGGTTTTAGTGGATGTTGTCTATGACAGTTATTTGGGGGAGAGGGGTTGTTAATTTTTTAAATAATTTATTTTTCAATTACAGTTGACATACATTATATTAGTTTCAGGTGTACAACCCAGTGATTAGACATTTCTATAACCTATGAAGTAATCACCTTGATAAATTTAGTACCCATATGGCACCATACATAGTAATTACAATATTATTGACTATATTCCCTATGCTGTACTTATCCCCATGACTATTTTGTGACCACCAATTTGTGCTTAACCTCCAGCCCCCCAACCGCTCTCCCCTCCAGCAACTGTCAAAATGTTCTCTGTATTCATGAGTATGACAGTTATTACTGTGATGTTTTGCCAATGGTGATTTTCTATTTCCTTCTACACTAATTGGAATTTTATACAGAAGGCTGTCTCATCTCCCCCATGTTATTTAATTATTTACAGTATGGACACATGGATTTTATTTGTTATGTGGGTCCGAATCCAATAATACCATTATTTATTTTGTTGCTCAAATTGTCCCACCTTTGGCTACCAGGAGAGTTCCTTCAGGTTGGCTCCTGTGTTCTTTCAGCACATCCTCTCTTTTTTTTAAAAAAAAAAAGAAAATACAAAAAAACATTTTCTTACTTTCTGAGATAACAAGGTGTCCCAGATTCATCTTGCCTCCCTGCCCCATTTTTTGAACCAACCACTTCTCCAAGGGACCTGCCCTGATTTTAAATTGAAGAATAGTATTTAGAATCGAAGATATGAGTGCTGTCTTAGTATGTTTTTTTAAAATATATATTTTAATTGATTTCAGAGAGGAAGGGAGAGGGATAGAGAGATAAAAACATCAGTGATGAGAAAGAATCATCCATTGGCTGCCTCCTGCAAGCCCCCCCTGGGGATTGAGCCCGCAACCCACGGTATGTGCCCTGACGGGAATCTAACTGTGACTTCCTAGTTCATAGGTCAATGCTCTACCACTGAGCCATGCTGGCTGGGCCTTAGTATGTTTTTTACACATCTGACTGATAGTGTTCTAAGATAATTAAATAAGATGTAGAATTTTACCATTAGCTGTAAGAAATCAGGTGTCATCCCTTCAGCATTTCTCATCTTTGCTTTCATATCACTGGGCTCTTCCTCAGGAGCAATGCTTTCTTTGACAAATGATGGAAGAGGGGCCGAAACCGGTTTGGCTCAGTGGATAGAGCGTCGGCCTGCGGACTGAAGGGTCCCAGGTTCGATTCCGGTCAAGGGCATGTACCTGGGTTGCGGGCATATCCCCAGTGGGAGATGTGCAGGAGGCAGCTGATCGATGTTTCTCTCTCATCGATGTTTCTAACTATCTCTCTCCCTTCCTCTCTGTAAAAAATCAATGAAATATATTTTTAAAAAAATGATGGAAGAGGGAAAGTCTTCAACTAAAAATTGTCATTACTGCCTCCTTCCCTCACTCTACAATATATGTAAAATCAGACATATATATCCATTTTCTGATTATATATATATATATATATATATATATATATATATATGAGAGAGAGAGAGAGAGAGAGAGAGAGAGAGAGAGAGAGAGAGAGAGAGAGAAGCCAGACCTTGGATTATGTTACCTTAATTGAAAAAAGTTGACCCAAACCAGTATCTCAAATTGTATTTTTGTATGCTGCCCTGCAGATTTTTTCACCCTGGAAAAACTGTACTATAGAAGGACTAGATATGTATGTATATGTGTACATAGTAAAGATTGAGAAAGGCCTTATGAAAGAACATGAGAGAAAGGAAAGCCAGTGTGTGTTGCAGACGTTCTCAGTTGAATTTAAGAAGAGGGTAATGATAGAAGCAGAAGACCTGGAGATTGCCAATGTTCTTGAAAAGTCTTTTGTGTACCCCCAAGAGTTTCTGTGAGTGCTAGTCAAGGTATTCAGTAATAGCCACAAACTTTAGTATAACTCCTGTTTACTAGTAAGAGGGTGCTATACCAATGTAGAGATAACACTTCAACAGTGATTTTCTTGGTATTCATTTGCAATCTAGTTGGGTAGACCAGACACACATAGAAACAAAAAGAGGACGAAAAAGAAGACTTTCAGTTAAATTTGGCAAA